AGGGAGAGAGAGAGAGAAAGAAAAAAACCCCACATTGATGTGAGAGACACATGGATTAGTTGCCCGCTACTCGTGCGCCCACTGGGGCGGGGATGGAGCCTGCAACCGAGGTATGCCCTTGGCTGGAATCGAACCCGGGACCCTTCAGTCCGCGGGCCGATGCTCTAACCACTGAGCCAACCAGCCACGGCCCTCATTATTTTAAAGGTGAAAAAAGCAATGGCGAGGCTGCACCGTAATCCACGCAGTCACTGTCTGCACTTAGAATTACAGACAAGCTGCAGTTAACAGTGCAGCGCACGTGCTCTCGTGTCGCAGGTGTAGGTGTGTCTTCAGGGTGACCTGGAAGCAGTCCCGCTGGGTCAGCAGTAGACGCGCACGGAGTTTTATGGGACACCGCGGGCCCTCCCATGGCCGGAGACCTGCATTCCCACCAGGACGCAGGGCGGTGCTGGCTCCCACAGGCTCGCTGACAATGCTGCTCCATCTTCCTTTGTGCCAGCCTGGCGGGTGAGGAATGGTACCTCAGAGCAGTTTCAATGTGCATTTCTCCAGTTATGGCTACGGGTGAACACCTTTTCCTATGTTTAAAGACTGTTTTTCCACCTTTTGGTGGGGGTGGTCTGTCTCTCTTCATTCTCTATCCCACTTTTGGTCATTTCCCCTTCATCTTTAAGATTTTTAACATGACCTCAGGGAGAACAGCCCTGTATCTCTGAGACATGTGGCAAGTATTTCCCCCCAGCTCGTCAGCTGTCCTCTGACTTTGCTCTGATGCTCTCTGGACATCCAACCTTTTTCCTTCTATCACGGAGGCCCCACTGATCAGATGCCACTGTTTTCATAGGCTGACCTCTCACAGGAACTTCAGTCTGTTTCAGTCATTTATCCTACTAGCCTGTGTGGGGACTCGCCAGCCACCTCAGTGTCGGTTACAGGTGCTTTAGAGTGTGTTTTAGTGCCCGAAGGTCACGTCCTGTGTCATGTTCCTTCGGGGTGCTTTCCTATCCTTTGTTGCATGTTTCTTTTCCATATGAACTTTAATATCATCAACTTGAAAACAATCTTTCCACGAGTACATTAAATTCACTCACATTTGCCGGTATGACTGATAAATGTGGTCGCAACCTGGTCCCCAAGCCCCACAGTTTTCACGCGCTGTCAGATTGTCAGTGCTGCTTTCTCCAAGCGACACTGCCCCTGCCGGCTCACTGTTTACCGGTTACTGGCTGAGTTCGGGAGGGGTTAGGTTTTGTTCCGATGCTTACCGTCTACACACTCTAATGCCCCCAGATAACACGTCAGCATCTCGCGTGTTCATTTTCAGTGGTAGCTTCAAGTCTCATCTATCACACATACAAGAACCAGTGAGCACCTTCGCTACCCTCCTCCCACGTTCGTCTGGATCATCCCCACTGTGCCAGGACACGCGACACTGGTGTGCCAGCACCGCCCTCATCTCTGCCTTTGTTTTAGTCTCAGAGACAGTGACATACAGCAGGCGCTCACCACAGTCCTCAGGCTGAAGGCCCCGGGGACAGCACATTCTCCTGCAGGTTCCTCGGGCCCGGCAGACGGCTGCAGACTTCATCTGTCGGAGGCGGTTTTTCTCTGGCCATGCTGCTTGGAAGGCTTATGTATCCTTGACTCCCACCTTCTTTGACAATGCGGCTCCATCACTGCCTTGCTCTACGTATTGATCTCGAGAAGTCTGATGCCCGTGTCATTCTCTCGCCTTGTAAAGTATTTGATTTTTTTGCCTGGACGCTGTGGGGACTTTTCTGTATCTCTGAAGTCTAATAGTATCGCTCGACTACATCTTAGGCCTGACCGTCGCCGGTCAATCTTCCCAAGCCCCCGGCGAGCCCTTTCAGTGTGTGGATTCAGACCTTTAACTTCTAGATATGACAATTTCACATATTAGTTCTGCTCCACTGTTTTGTTTTCCTTCTTGGGCTCCAATTATAATGTTTTTTCTTCCCTGTCTCTGTGTCACTTCAACCGCCTTCTCTCTGGCCCTTCCTTCTTTCTTTTGTCTGATTTCCATTCTCGTGGTTGTTTCCCCGTATCTCTTCAATGCTCCTGTTGCGTTTCATTTGAATCTATTTTCTCCCTTGAGCATGTTGAAATTCAGTCAACTTCTGAGATGATTTTACCATTTCCTTCCATTTTTTACTGAGTATAATAAACCCTTTTCATTTCTTCATACTGTTTTCAATTCCTGAATTTCTGACTCGACAATATTTTTCATCTCTCCTACAGCCGGATCATGATTTGAGAACCGCTGCCTTAAACGAGTCTCATTTTTAAAAACAAATGTACAATTTTTATGTGTCAAAAATGAAGTAGGAAAGAAAAGCTGATTAATTTTCTAATGAGTCTTACAAAATAGCATTAAAAACAATTTAACAAAGAATTCCAATAATATTTGGTGCTGTGACAAAAGTGTTAAAATCTGGTACAGCTTCCTCAAGCGGCTGCCGCAGCACCCCAAAACTTGGCACCGGTGGGGGGGTCTTTGGAAACTCCCAAAGGACACCTGAGCTATCGTCCAGCCTCGGCACACTTGGGACAAATCTGTTTCCCACTCAGCGCTGCCTCTCAGGAAACATTTTGGCATTTTCACGGAAGGCGCGCATTTGCATGCGCTAAACCAGGGTTTCTCAACCTTGGCACCAAAATGTGTCTGCGTGGTTTAAAAAAGACATGTCACTCAAAAACAGGCATGAATGTGTCACAGAAACGGAAGGTTAGTTAAATGCATGCCTAGAAAGATTGACAAATGAGTTTTATCTCTTGTAAATCATGTAACATGAAGACTAAGTTACATAATACCAAGGTATCTTTCTAACATCACCGTTGAAGCTTCATCTTTTTCTTTTCTTACATTGTTAGACCTGGTGAATCAGTCACAGTTAGACACTGATGTTTTAAATGCCAAAAGGAGCCAGCTGCCTGCTCTAGTCTCTGACTCAGTTAAGCTCTTACAGTATTTTGACTGCTTCGAGAACATTAATAACGGGATGTTAGGCGGTAGATTAACTGAAACTAAATATCAACATAGCTAGATTTATTTCTGGATGACTGAGCTCATCTCTTCAAAGAGCGGAAATAGGATTTACTGCATCACGAGTTACTAACTTACACAACACCCAAACAGCCCCGCCCGCGGACAGGCAGCCACCACGCCGAGGGCCGGAGGCTGAGCTTCAGGTTCGCATGAGCCGTCTGCGCTCCCGGCGCTGCAGTTACGGCCGCGGGCGACTACCCAACACTCAAAGGCGCCAGAGCAAGTTGAGGCCACACGTGTCCTGAGAGTTCTGGAATAAAACTGGTATGCGAGCCTCCCCTGTCCCACGTGGCAGCCCCGGGACATACAGAAAAGAGGGTGCTGGGCGCTGCCCCGCGTGTATCCCACGCACTCACAAATACTCACCGAGCCTGTCTGCCCTCCCTCCTCTCGCCCCGAGAGGCAACAGCTAACTGGCTAGATGCTCCTGGTCTGAAGTGGCCCCTCGCGGGGCTAAAGCGGTCTACATAAAATGGGGCTCCTCCCTTGAACCGAGCCCTAACTCTCATCAGTCTGCGGAAGCAAACTCCGTGAGGAAGCAGACGAGGCTCACGGGTCATGTGAAATCAGCTGGCTTTCTCGGGCAGAAAGAGCTCGGCCGCCTTAGACCTGCTTACCTACAATCCAGTTCTCTGCTCATTCCCTTCAACGCCAAATTCCTGCCTTCCTCATGCCACGGAAGCTCAAGGACCAGAAGTCATCGCACAAACCTATCTCCCGGGGACGCTTTCCGTGTTGTCTTCATTAACTCGGGGTCCTTATCAAGTGCAATGAAAGCAGGATTTGTTTTAGCTGCTGGATCTAGAGGATCGTAAAGTTTAGACCATTTCTACGCTAAACTGAGGCAGGAAATATTTCATGTTCTGTAGACAGATACAAATTGTTCTCGTTTTCTATTAAAAAAACACCACATTCTCTCATTCACTGTACTTTTTAACTGACTTTTAAAGAAAAGTAGCATGTTACCCCAATAAACTTCACTCATTTCCCCCACAAATGAAACATCACATTCAACATACCCACTGCTCCTTTCTGAAGAGAAACGTGCACACAGCCTGCTGCCCCTGGGAAGGGTGTGAGAGCAGTGGCTCACCCTGGGTGGCTGGCTCTTTATGTTTTTATAAAGTAAAATGCTGAAGCCTGGGCCGTTCACACGAGGCACCAAGCAGCAGTAACTGGCGAGACGGGAAAAGCCCTCATGCCTGAACCTCACCTCCCCGATACCCGTCAAAACCCACCCCTCTTATTCAGTTAATTGTTCTCCTGTAAGACCTGGTGGCTCTACAAGACAGAGCACAGGGAAGAGTCCTCCCAGTGCTCCCTATCACAGCCTCGGCAAAGCTCCATCGTAGTCTCTGTGCCTTTCTAATTACTGATGTGACGTAGCCTTTCTGCGCCACTGTATTTCCCCAACACCCCGTCTCTGAACTCATGCAAATGTGAACACCAGCGGGAGGCTACGAGGCCAGCTTGCTCACAGCAGACCAGCAGAAACAACGAAACTGGAGTCGCCAGTGAGATGATCTTGGAACGCTTTCCTTAAGTACGCAATGGGTTTTAGAAATGATTTTCCACAGGCCCTGGTTCTGTCTGAAGAGGGCGCTTTCTTTAGCAGGACCCAGCAGCCGAGCATTACTCCTGTCTTCGGGACAACATAAAACAGCCGCAGCAAAGCGCCACGGACTGGCTTGCAGGTGAGATGGTCTTACAGCGTCTTCCCTCTCCGGCGTGGACGGGCTCTGCAATTCCACCCAGAACGGGGGTTCAGAGTGCAGAGCTCTAACCTAGTGAAGGCCGGTCAAGAGCACTATGCTGTTCTGCTGAGCTGGGGCTTAACTTCCACTCTGCAGATCCTACAGCCAGCACCAGAATTTAACCTTGAGGCCAATCTTCTCCCACATGTCCCAACAGATGCTCAGGTGGAACTTACCAGAAGCATTGCTGACGTTCCATTGGGCCTGGAGAGGTGGATGGACATTTCGGGAAACATCCTGTCGATGCGGCTGATCACATCGTCTACGTACCTAAGAGGGAAAAAAACACATGTATGAACTGAACCTAGTCAAAGAAACACACATCCAGTCTGCCAGGCTCACTTTTCAATCTAATTTTTTATTAATGGAACATGTTTTCAAGAAGGCAAATGGGTTAACAGGGCTTTTTATAAAAACACTACCGCCCATTCCTCCTCTAGTCTTCCAGTCAACCACTTTTTAGCGACTTCTTTGGTATTTCTACGTAATGTGGTTTTAATGTGAGCTCTTGCCTTTTCACCGTAAGGCATGGCCTAGTGACTTTCTTCTACAGGAGGTCAGAATGGAGCTCTGTCACCTTCCTGGGCTTCTGGGCTCTAGTGACAGAGATCTCTCTGTCTGTCCTTCAGTATAAGACTGGCAGCTGCTTCCTGCTGTAACTCAGCCCTGGTCGCCTCACTGTCTCCTGCCTGGCTTCTCATCTCAGTCACCAGAATAACCAATTCCCTGGATTAAATTCCTTCTGAGTACCAGAAGTCATTCCTGTTTTCCTGGCTGGACTCTAAGTAATTCAAGTTATGTCACAATTTTTTGCTTAAATGGGTATTTGATGGTCACGTTCTATAACCTATGCATGTATTTTTTAACAACTGAGCTACATGGTGGCTTGAGTACATTTACTTACTTGTACAGTTTCCTTTCTGCCTGCTTTCACTTGTTTAGTTTTCTATGTACCTCTTATAGCTCCCTCCTGCACTCTCCACCTGACTCTAAAACCCCTCTCCCTAGTCATGCATGTTGGGCACTCCATCAGCTCCACTTTCCCTGGAGATGTTCCTCCGAAAGGCAGTCCTCTGTTCCTCTGGCCCAAAAGGAACCTGTATCTCTTAAGGTTTAACAATCATTGAGGTAACTGACTTTAGGCACTTCGCATGACATCGGGCACATACCAACAATTCAAAAACTATACTACTGGTCCACCGTGAACCTGTTCTGCAAAAATGCCCTCTCAGCAGGCGCACTGTCCTTCCAGGGGAGGCTCACCGTGAAGATGCCAAGCACAGCTCCAACAGAGCTGGGTCTGGCTCAGATCCCGAGAAGGAAATCACACCAGCATGTGTGCTCACTCTCCAGTCCACTGGCCACAGAGGGGATGTATAATACAATAGCTGAGATGCAAAACTATCCATTAAGGATTTTGCATTGGATTTCCTATCGGTTGGATATGACAAATTAAATTACATGTCCATTAGATCAGGGACATAGAAAAGCTATGTTCTCTTGGGGGGAGAGGGAGATTAGCTCTCCACTCACAACATGAAAAGACTTAGCCTGAGACCTAGGGCTCCTGAGAGGCAGCAGACAACACAATGCCATTTGTTTAAAAAGCGAACACGGCATATCAGCTATGAAGTCAGACAGCGGTCCCACTGATTAACTTGCAGGTTTCCCTCAGGGAGTGTTGTTACAGATTTAAACACTGAGCTGGAGCAGGAAGAGAAGAGCTATGAAGGCAGCGGTAACAAGGAATGAATGGCAAGAAGACGCGCAGAGGTGCGCGAGAAGACGTGGGGTGCACCGAGGCGTCTGCCGCTGGGGAGGACCCCAGGAGGGCATGGCAGTAAAAGGCAACCTCGCTCAGAAAGAACGAGAGGCAGTTCTTAAAAGTAAGGCCCCATTCTACTGATTTTTAAAATGACTAAGAAAGAGTGACTAAGAACGCACATCCTGGGTCCCGCAGCCCCTTCCAGACTCACAGCTGCGTGACGCATGTACAACCCCGGCTCTGAGCTTAAAGGCTGAAGGTGAAAAGACAGGGAAAGCAGGACATTAGGTCACGGTCCCTCACTGCCTGATGTTCCTCAAAACGGTGGGAGACACGGGAAGCTTCCCTCCAAGCTGACACCAGCCCCTGGGGCATTTGTGTACTCTTCTAAATCTGTGTGTGTGGTTTAAACCCAGTTAATTCAGACTCAGCAGGAAGCAAAATTCTGCTGTCCTGTGCGAAGGGAGGTCGGTGCTAAGCATATGCTGATGGAGGGGTGGGCAGTGGTTTCTGAACGACCCTCAATCGATAGCCATCATAGCTCCGGACAGCAGGATGCAAATGGCCACGCGGAGCTGCAGCACAAAGGTAACCTCGCATTTACTCTCCACGTGCCGGTCACCTTGACGGTTTCAAATATTTTCTGGAAAACTTGTCTCTAGTGGGCTAGGAACTAGGGGGCTGAGCAGGCTGAGCGACGGTTCCAGAAACCAAGCTCGGTGCAGATTCCTAGGACGCCTCTGGTAAGGGCCAGAATCCTACCTGCGCAGCGCACACCTGCTCCTTGCCATTTGGGGTCCCTTTCTCTCTGAGTTCTTTCCTTGCAAAGAAAGGAAGGCAGCGGCAGGAGGAAAAGGGTTCCTAGGAAAAATGCCTACTGTCGACACAGGGGAGTGGAGAGGTGTGGGTGGTATCTCTGTTTTCTTCCCAACCAGTGATCTCAGCAAGAGCTCAGTAAGCTCAACCCAAAGATCTTATTAAGCAGAAATAAACTTCAAGGAGTCTGTGTTTCATTCCCATGCCTAACATAACGGAGATGCAAATTTCCTTTTCACAGGTGACATTACGTGTTTGCCAAAAAGAGAAAGAGAGAAAGTCAGCTGTGCCGTTAACTGAGGAAACAGTGTCTAAATCCTAGCAGTAAAATCAAAACATTTCATTTGCAAGTAGATCCAGCTTTCAAAACACGTATCCACTGCCTGTGACCCGACAGGAACACGGAGCTGGTGACACGGGCACTTTCTGCCCACACGGGGCTGGCCCAGAGGCGGGGGTGGGAGGT